TATTTTTAGTAACATGCTGCAGTTTAGAAATGAAATTCTGAGTTAAATTGGGTTGAAAATTTAAAATAAAAAGGTCTGATATTTTATATTCCCTGTATGTACTTCTTTCGATTTTATCAAATGGAGAGAGATCAGACAATTCTGTGCATTATTATTTCTGAATGAACAGTTTGAGACCATCATTCATCAAACTAAAATAATCAACTTTATTTATGTTCAGATAATTTAATAAATGAATTTTATTGCTGAAAGCTGATATACTTTTTTTAAATATAAAACTTTGGGCATTAAATATTATTAGTCCAAAGGGATTTTTGTCCCTGAAGGACTATTGTTTCCGTTTTACGATTTTGCATTGGTTTACTATAAATGTGTTTCACTTTTCGAACTGTTGCCACCAAATGTTAAATATGCACTATTTGCAAATTAAAAACCTATTTCTCGCAATAAAACAACGTACAAAAGCCACCAATGAATGGCTATGGAAGCCGAAATTTGTTTTATTATCGATTTCCTATTTTGTAAAACTTGAAACGAATTTCGATTAACAATCTCAAGGATTTCAAAGCGAGCAATGGCAACGTTGCACAGAAAGAACATTTTTATCTCCAACGCACGAAACTCTGTATCGGAAATTCTAAAGATATGCTCAATTTAAAACTATTTTGTGATATTGTTCTCGAACTGAATTTTATGGTTTAAGTGCGAAGAACGTGATATTTAATAAGTAAAGGTAACAGACAAAATGTTAAAAAAAACGATCCTTTGGGGGTAATTTAAAATCTGAAACCTTTCAGATTTTTATATATTTTAACTGGAATTTTTGTTTAGTTATTTTGTTTATATCTTAGCTGTTAGGGGAGAATATCACGTTTGATTAATACGAATGTCACTGTGAAATGTTTGAGATACGCGCAGACGATAAGTGGCAGAAAAAAAATTAACGGTTAAATTTGAAAATATGAATTATTTTTCATAGCAGGCGATTTTTTATTGGACAACTGTAAGTAGTTTAGCGTAGAATAAATTTTATGCAGAAGGAAAAATGGAGTTGACGCAAGAAAATTATCATGTTATGATTTTTGTGATTTTAAAGTAGAATTAAATCGGGAGGAATACGTTTAACATCTGGACAATTTGGAACGTCTACAATTTGGAAGTGAAGGAGATCCATCACGTGTTACTGTATTCAGATGGTTTACAAAATTTCACAGAAGTCGCAGCTCTCTTCAGAATAAAGAACACAGGAAGGTCGTTGTTAGCAATAGTTCCATATGTGTCTGCCATACGGAAAATGTTCATCCATGATAATCGCTGCATCTATCAAATGATACAGAAGGAACTTATCACTGGATACACTGCCGTATGTAAAATTATTCATGAAGAATTATATGTGAAAAAACTAGTTTGCCGCTGAGTTTCCCCATAATTTAATTGAGCATCAAAAAAGAGAGTGTCAGAATCAGTAAAGAAACCCTTTAGTTACTTAAAGATGAAGGCCACCACATTATTTCTGAATTATTCACTGGTAATGAAACGCACATCCATTTTTTGACGTTCTAATCATTTTTTTGACGCCAAGAAAGCAAAGTATGGGTCTTAGAGGATAATTCCTCGCCCACAATGGTGAAAAGACAGCGTGCAGTGAAAAAAGTAATGTATGTGATTTTCTTCAGAAGTACAGGACTGGTCAAAGCCATCAAGTTGGAAGGGACAGAAGACAGTCACAGCTAATTGGTTCACCATTAAGTGTCTTCCGGAAATTCTTCAAGAAGTGAATGTTAGCGGGCTCATGCTCCACCATGACAATGCATCTTCTCATTCAGCAGGATTTGAACAAAAACACAGCATAGTTATAGAATATCCACCCTATTCATCTGATTTAGCTGTTTGTTACTTTAAGCTGTATTTTAATCTAAAAAAGAATTTACGTGGACGTCATTTTCATTTCGAAGATGAGACTGATGAAGCTATAAGTGCATTTGTTTCATCGATTCCAAGAAATGAATGGATTGAGGCATTTAATCTTTGGAAATTTCTCTTACAGAAGTGCATTGAAGCTGGAGGAGACGACTTTGAACACTCTTAGTTTCGTAAGTATAACTTCAAAAACTTACGTGTATCTCAAAAATTTCAAAGTGAGCCTCGTTTAGGAATAATGTGTATTTAACCATCTATCTCAAACCCTTTACACGAAAATTATTTCTAAAACTGCTGCATATGAGAATGAATTTTTTAATGAAAATGAGCTGCTATTGCTCACAGAAGTTCACATTGTTCCTTAGAAGTCTAAAATTTTTATTATTCATTTACACCCTTGTTTAGGTTTAAAACTTCAAATATAACTTGATATTCGTGAAGGAGGATTTTATCTTTTGGGCTTGGTAATTTGCACTGATTTTGTCAATTTTTATGAAGTTAATTGCGTTTTTAAAGTTTGCGTAGTAGTTTTCTTCTGCGTTTATTAAAAGTGGATCAAAAGTAACCACGCTTATGGAAGTATTAAATTAATATTTGTATATGTGTGATGCTTAGTAATAAATTTGTCCCATTATCCATTTTATAAGTTGCAGAGGTTTTTCTGTGTATCCAGTGTTTAATTACTTTTATCTCCAGAATAGTTTATTAATTAACACTGGAAGGTAATCTGTGATTTTTTTTCTTATTTTAAGAAATATCCTCCTCTTAGCAACACATTTCTTTCCTTTGTTTGGTGGGGAAAATAAAATTTCAAATTAAATTTTATGTGTCAGTACGTTTATTTATAGCAGCTTATTTCTTATGTATTGAATAACAATCTTATTTTACTCTGAATTTACTATCTTTTTTTCTACGAAAGTTTTCGTAATATTATTGTAAATTTATGACAGTAATAAAAAACATCAAAATTTAGAATCTAACTTGTTTGTATCATTTGAAGGATTTAGATGTAGTTCATATATAATTGTAGTTCCTTGACTTTCATACAAGCTCTGCAACGATGCTCATACCTGATCGAGTGTACAAAGCAATAATTGCCATTCCTCAAACAGTGCAATTTCTTGCTCTCTAGGTGTTGCAGTTCTGATTAGTATAACTCAGTGTTTATATATAATATTTTGACAGTTAATGTCCATTTCACTTGGCTGGTGACTTCATCGAACAAACAAACACACAAACAGACATTCTTGTTTTTATTGTATAGAGAGATTTTAGAAAACTTACAAATATTTGATTACCAGATTCTACTATTTGAAAGCGAGAAGTAGCAACACTTTTCAAAATGAAGCATTTTCATCTTCAACGCGCGAGACTGTTGCCACTCAAAAAATGAGTGTGAAAATTAGCGCTTTCAGAGTTTTTAATTAATATTTCGGCTGATTAAAGTCGTACGTAGACGGGAATAGTCGAAATGGCTTCCCGCGAATTTTCGGAATCGGGAATATTGTATTTAACGTTTGGCAATGCTATTTTTATTTCGTCGTAAAACTTAGAAGAAATTTTTTATTAACAAACTCAATTATTTGAAAGCAAACAGTGGCAACAACTTTCGAAATAAAGATTTTCATCTCCAGCTTACAAGACTGTTGTCACTCGGAAAAATAAAGGCGGAAATTATCCTTTTTCTGAGTATTTAATTAACATCCCTGATTTTAGCCATTTGTTTTTGAAAAAAGTGGACGTCGATCTTTTCCAGGATCCAGATAAGAATTGTAAAACGTTTGGTGACGATAGCTATAGTACTGACTGAGTTATTAGACGAAAACCAAACACACAGACTTTCTTTTTTATATATATATATCTTCTGAAGAAGAAGGAAGGTTCTGGTAATTTCCGTTTTCTTGAGATTTCTGGAAAGCAAGAGATTAGAATTACGGTCACAGATAACACAGTAGTCAATTACATTTACTCAGTTTAAATATAAATTACCAGACATCTATTTATTAAATGCCCCGCTTGCTCCAGTATTTTTACTTTTTCGGCGTAGCTTCTCTTAAAACTCGTCACGCGCTGTATTAAACGGAGAAATAAAACGATTTGAATTATAATTCTTCTAAAAATTGCTAACTAAATACAAAATCCGAAAAATTTCGTTTTCTCTCCAGAGCTAGGTGTCCTATATTATGTGTGGTCTATTCATCTGTTTATAGCTCTTATGTATTCTGAGGTTTTTCTGCAAGCCTCATGACCTATCTGGTGGAACAAGTGAGGTTTTGCATTTCATTTCTTCAATAATAATAACAAAAATAAACTAATAATGGTTATAAAAAGGTAAAAGTAGTTGTGCCAGGAGGAGTGAGTTCAAGAACAAGCAGATAAACCGCGAGCTCAGCGGCAACAGGAAAAAAAAAAAAAAAAAAAAAAAAAAAAAAAAAAAAAACCCACAACAAACTCTCTGATGCGACGTTACAATCTAAATCTTTCAGATTTTTTCTTTTTCCTTTTTTTAATAGTACGTTCTTGTTTTGAGTGCTGTGTTTTTTTTACATAGCCAAATAAACTTGTTTACAGATTAAATTGCTTCAAAACATAGTTAAAATATGAATTGTCAGTTTTTATTTATTATAACACATTTTATTCTCCTTTTTTTAACTTCAGTCGCGATGTCTAAACCGCGAGTGTGTTTCGTTAAATCTTCAATTGCTGTAACTGCTTTTATATTACCAGTTATGATACAGATGGCAAACATTTGCTTCGAAAACCTAACAACCTAGCAGGCATTATATTGTTCCAAGGCGAAAATATTTCCAACACGTGACATCATTTGCCACCAGAAGAATATTCTCTCATAAATTTCAAGTTAAAAATATTGAAAGCATAAAAATAACCTTAAGAACCCCCTTCTCCTCCCAAAGGCAGATGCGATAGTTATCATTTAAATATTCCAATATTATCTTTACAACCACAACATAATTATTTACAATTATGGAATGGAGGGCCGCGGGCGGCACGTGGCAAAATGGCTGGTCTCCAATGGCATGTAGGCCACGAAGCAAAATTATTCTGCCCACGAATATAGTATGTTTTGTGAGCAGAAACATATATTCTCCTCCTCCTGCTCGTCTTCTTTGTGCGCTCCTTCTGCTGCTCCTCCCCTTGCTGCTCCTCCTCTTGCTCCTCCACTTCTTGCCGCTCCTCCCCTTGCTGCTCTTCCTGCTGCTCCTCCTCCTGCTGCTCCTTCTCCTGCTGCTCCTCTTCCTGCTGCTGCTCCTTCTGCTGCTCCTCCTCCCCTTACTGCTCCTCTTGCTGCACTTCCTCCTGCTGCTGCTCTATTACTGCTCCTCCTGCTGCTCCTCTTCCTGCTGCTCCTCCCCCTTACTACTGCTCTTCTTGCTGCTCCTCTTCTTGCCTCTCCTCTTGCTGCTCCTCCAAGCAAGAGGGGGAGCAGCAAGAGGAGGAGAAGCAGGAGGGGCAGCAGGAGGAGGAGTAGGAAGGGGAGGAACAGGAGGAGGAGCATCAAGGGTAGGAGCAGCAGGAAGAGGAACAGCAGGAAGAAGACAAGGTTCTTTAATATACTAAGGTTAGGCCAGGAACGGAAAAAGCGTGCCATTGTTTGCTGGTAGTGACGTCACCCGGGAGACAAGACGCATCGGCCGACGCGTCTGCTACATGATTTTGGTAATGGAAAATGTCAAATAAAGCAAAATAATCATTTTTATGTGGTAGATACACCGAAATACCGGGTATATACTTTCCGATTAAGTATTTGTTAAAGAAATGTTTGTTTTATGCACAGAATCGTACGAATGCTGAAAATAATTGTAAACATAAATTCTTTTCGTAAAGGAAAGCATTAGAATGACAAACGATATTTAAGTATAAGGGAATAAATTTGTAAAAACAAGGTATTTTTCAATGTTTTTCGTAGTATTGTTTGCACTAAATAAATCTTGTGAACAGAACACATAATGGCGTAACTGCTAGACCATGGTAAAAACATAATCAAAAAGTATTATTCTATTTATTTTCATTGCTCATGCACTTTTTTTAATACACAGGAACTTTGACATTCCATGAGAAATATATGATCGTGATTTTCAGTTTAAATTACGTATCTCAAGCAAAAATCTATATAAAAAGATTTGAATCGACAAATTCATATTTAAATATCACAAAATTCTACAAATTTCTTAATATCACGTCATTATACTTTTAAATAGACTTATCACATTCTTTTTAAAGTGAAAAGTCACTTATTCTGATTCACTTCAGATTCCAGCAGAAGCGCATATATTTTCAGTATAATCTAAAAGCACTATTATAATTCCTTACACTCCCAAGATTTCTATATAACATTTATCCTGGCGTGATTATTTGCTGTAGTAAATGATTTTCGATATTGGACACCCTATTCTTCCCTCCCTACAATAAAAATGGAACAATAAAATACATTTTCTTACACAATACGCACAATAATAATAAAATAAAACTTGCCCTACACATTGGCCCAGCGGTCGAGCGGTAAAGCGCTGAACACTGGTAGTTCGGTCCGAATCCCGCGAACGGGATGGCTGCATGGGTTTTCGTGGTTTTCCTCATGTGTAACGTGTATACGAGCCAGTTTCCCTTAGAAAGTCCTCCACGAAGGCATCACACCTTGCAGATAGCCCTAGTGTGCTTTGCCATAATTAAATACACCACCCCACTTAATTTCAATTCAGCCTGTATACAAATTAAATATTTCAATTACTAATGTATTTATATCAGGTTATTTCTTAAAATACTTTTGTTATACTCAAAATATGTGTTCAGAATTTGAATTATTTTTCTTTCTCTTATAATTAAAAACAAATTATATGGAATCCAAATTAAAACATATGCAGCAGTTAAATAACACTGACAGACCTTATCTTACTTAATCTTTCGCTATTTGTATTCCAGCACAATACACAGATTTGTTTTCTTTCAGGGTCAAGCATGGATAAGTTCATTTAGTTATATCAATTAAATTACATCTCACATACCTGTATGCATCAGTTAATATACACTGAAGGAAATATGTCACTCACTCATTTGATGTTTGCATCACAGTGTGGTCGAGAAATTGTTCTTTCCTCACGGTGAGGCATGTATGAGTTTACTTAGTTTGCAATGCTTAACCCAGATGCTGCTTCAATACATAGGGATGTAAAGAAAGTAGCCAAAACATGTGAATAAAGTTGGATAAGCGAATTTATTCAACTATTCATTCAGGTACTCAGTATTGGTAAACATGACACTGATTTAATATCTCACTACGATGTAAGTATCATACACAAAATGAAGATTATGATAAAAAATGAAAATGAGAATTTTTCAATATAAATGTAAAATAAATGTAAAATTACATCACAGTTATGTATGAAAACTACATAAATTGATTAAAAAATAGTCAGTTATTTTATCTGGTTGTAAAGAGTGTTTTCCGCTAAGAAACGTATTGCCGTGTATAATTCTGACACAATGCTATAGCACAATTTGCCACTTCCGACTAGGTATAATAGCACATTAACAACACAAATCAAATCAAACTGTTAATGCAACGAATGTAAACAAAGACCAAGAACTAACGACTGTCACTCACATGACGTCATGCGTATGTGGCATAACTTTCTCCCTGCACTGCGCATCGCTCTTGGGCCCCCCCTGGGAAGAAGAGCAGCGAGGGGAGAAGCAGGCAGAGCACCAGGAACAGCTGGAAGAGGAGCAGCATGAGGTGAGCAGCAGGAAGAGGAGTAGGAGGAGGAGCAGGGACAAAACATATACTCGTGGGCAGGTGACAGGTTGACAGGTGACGGAGGACGGGGACGCCTGGTGTTTAACATAGGTAAACAGGCGTGAGTCCCACGCCCCCTATCTAGCATAACAACTCCCTGGGGCCCCGTGAGGCTGCCTCGGGAGTTATAATACAGATCTAAAGATCATACATGACAAACAGGGACTGAGGATTATTGTTGGACAATGGTTGCGTGACAAAACTAACAAGATAACTCCAATACTATCAGGAACAATATTTTTCGCCAATTTTCTGAATGAAATACCATCGTTACCGACAGTGCCCATCCATCAGTGAGACTCCCATCAGGACAAAGCTAGCAGTAACCATCAAATCCCTGTAAATTTTCTAAAAGAAATGGAACAAAAACTGGTATCAAGGCCATACCCTTCACTGGTATCCTTACTGATTCCCGATGTGTCACCAAGGATTTTTGTGCTTCGGACTTTAAAAACTGCATGATCCAAATGTTGTCCCAAAACCCAACGGACTCTCGAAAGCTTTCGTGAGGAATGGGATAGAATACCTCTTCTGACACTTCAAAAGGCATTATTCCTAAAATTCCGTGTCGAAAGTTTTCCGAATAAGGGATGTCAAATAGAACATTTAAAACACAAGAATTTTATGTAATGTAGTTTTGTGAATACAGTATACATCATCTAAAAATGTGCGAACAGCCTCTGTACATTCATGCAGATTCTTCATTATTTAATTTCTTTAAATATAATACGGGGCAGTAGTATTTAGTAGCGGCAGTTTGAAATGTGATTTGCCGTTTATAGTGATGCAAACAAAAACACGGTTTTGAGATTAACCCCATTTGGGACTAACGTGCCTTTTTTGTTAATAATTCTGTTATTACTCTAAAATAGACAATTTCATTTTGTTCTGACCTAGTTTGGCTTAAAAAACACGGACACCGTTTCTCATTATGGTTCATTTCCTTTAGTAGAAGTAGCTGGCTAAACTTCCTCCTATTTAATGGGAAGGAAAATAATTCTGTTTTGAGTGGTCGCAATATTTTATCCGTGTAATGACAACGATTGCATTAGTTTCCAGACTTTAAAAAAGTACATCAAGTTTTCTTAGAACGTCTTAGGTCGAAGGCATATTTGCTAAAACAAATAGTTCTCGCGTGCTTTGATTAATTAACCAACCACGTATTTAAAAACTCAAACAGGCTTAGAATTCAGAAAGGCACGTAATTCCGTATGACAAGTATTGGAGAAAAACATATGGGAACCAAGGAAAATAAATAAGACCTTTCTTTATTTCATTTATTAAGAAAAATTTTGGTCATAATTCATATTTGAATCATTAAACTGAAGTAGAAAGTTTTGATGAATGAGATAAAGCTTTAAAGAAATCTAATTCACTGTTCTGAGCTGTCTACATCGTTCGGCTTAATGGCTTGCATAAGAAAAAGTAAATTTTTTAATTAATGCTGCTGTTAAAAATCTTAGAGATTATCATTGACATAAGTACATAAACGTGTCATAGGATGTTGACTAATGACTTGAAAACACGCATTTGCAAAACTCTGAAATTGCGAAAACATCTCTAGAGCATTCATCAGATTAAGCATTTCACATGAAAATATTCAAGTTCCTTTAAACTCATTTCTATTTTCCTTTCAATGAATTTAGATTTAAAAAAGTCACGAATAATTTTTACTGAAATAAATACGGAAAAAAAAGAAAAACTTAATGCGATTAAAATACTTCGCTTTTAAGAACTACGCTGCAGTTCTGAACTTCTAGACAATTGCCCAATTAAAATTCTGAAATTATAAAAAATGGAATAAGAAATTACATAAAAAAATAATAAAACGGTCTGACACCTAATTATGTTATGGGATGAAGATCCTCTATATTTTCTAGGATTAAATATTAAAAACTATCGAGGAAAAAGAAAAAAAAATCATTAAAAAGTAAAGAAAGGAAACTTTCGCATTCTTTTCTCAGATGCAGCTTTTAAGATATACGGCACTTAAGTCCCTTTGTGTAAAGCGACTTTTTAATTACTAACTCAGGAAGAAATGCAGTTAATGAGCTTTTCTGAGAATGTTGGTTCAATTTTCTTTCGTGGTCGAAATTAAAATCGATTTGGGGCGGCAAAATGTTTTTCAAAAGCATGTTAGCTTTGTGATATTTAATTTAAGACGTAGATAACAAACACTGCTTATTTTTATGTAGAAAGCTAAGTGTTCAAAAGCTGGTGCTTTTCTTTAAATTACTTCTTGGTAATCTTACTTACTTGGCTATGCTGCTTTCTGTTACCCAAATCCAAAAAGCTATGGAAGTGCGCCTACGGACACAATATTGTTGCGTGCGTACGGGTTCGTTATGAAATGAATGCACAAGTCCGATGAAAAATGAACAAAAATTTATTATTATCACAACAAAAATGCTTAAATTTTCTCAAATTATCATGCAGATTGATTACTGTGAGATATTGTAATAACAATATCTCACAGTAGTTATCTTTTAACTACTCAAATATCCAATAGAACGTAATTCAAAACAGCTAAAGAACGCTAATCCGTGAATTCGCTACAATCAACAAGAGCAGTTTTCTAAACAACACCAAACTAAGCAAGCAACTAACTAACTAACTTTATGACTTATGACTTACTTTTTTCTGGTCATTAACTACTAAAGAGTTTTTGCCAGTAGATCGCATTAAAGTGCACTAGGCAAAGATATTTTCAAATAAATGGTACTAGGGAAGTACCAACACCCGTGGGCGAAGAAAATTCAGCTGCGTGAGCAGGCATATCTTAATACTTACGAAAGTAGGCGTTTATCATAAAAATTGTGCAGTGGTAAGCAATGGCATTAAATTGAAGCATGTAGGCAGGTTCAGTGAGTTGTATGGCAAAATGCAGGTGGTGAGTCTATATAGCTAGTAAGAGTGCAGGATAAGCAATAGTGAGACATCATGAAAATGGCGCGAAGACAGTTTGAAGCTGTGAATGGCATAAGAGTTCAAAGTCCTTCAGAAGTATGCAGTAGCTAGATAGGCCGTAAAAAGTTCAAAAGTTCGTAGAATCATACGATAAAGTAAAAATTCATACAAAATAATTTTAAAAAAAATGAAATAGTAACATAAAAATCTTGAATAAAAAATTTTCTTGATTAACATAAGTATAAGATGCAACACAAATAATAGGATAGAGTCCAATTAGAGTTCAAGTAAATTTTAAAATTAAAATTTACAAGTTACCACCATAACGAATTGTGATGAATTGTCCTTGGGCGTTTGACAGTATATTCAATGGTTGGATCATAATCCAACATTTGTTTAATTGCGTTATACTGACTATGCTTCATCTTCTCGAAGAAGTTGTGAGCTGTCATGAGTATAAAGTTATGCACAGATGGAATATCCAGGTCGTTATGAATTATAGAGTTTCTCACGTACCAAGGTGCATTCACAATGCTACGTAGAATTTTTATTTTGAAGTATATCCAATTTTTTTTGCGCTCAGTTTTATTGGCGATTGCCCATGCCGGCACTGCATATAGCATGATCGGTCGAATTAGAGATATGTAAAGCATTTTCTTTATTTTTTTTAGACTGAGCTTTCGATTTTTTTTTGCCGATAATAGGATAAATTGCCATGTAGGCTGCATTTGCTTTGTTTAAGATATAAGAAATATGATCTTTGAAGTTGAGAGACTTATCTATGTAAACACCTAAATATTTATAGGAATTAGCTACAGGGATTAGAGTTCTATCTAAGTAGATATCAGTATTAAACTCTTAATCTTGTTTTGTATCTCCGATAGAGCACAATACAACATTTAGAGGCGTTGAGCTTAATTTTCCAAGTCTTGCACCAGTGATTGATCATATTGAGATGCATTTGTAAATTACTTAGAGCGAGCTGGGGACTTCTGGATTCAGTCAGTACTACAGTGTCGTCAGCATATTTGAGTATTTTCGTGTTGAATGGGTGCGGGAAATCATTGATATAAACATTATAGAGCCGGGGGGAAAGAACGGATCCTTGCGGCACCCCGCTATGAATTCTTTTTCTGACAGATAAGGCGTCACCGCAGCGAACTTGAAAAGTCCTGTTTTTCAGATAGGAACTAATGAGTTTTACGAAACTGTTTGGAAGCATAAAATTATTCAATTTATGCAGGAGGCCTGCATGCCACACTC